CAATGTTTGTCACTGTTGCCACCACCAGATGGACTTTGGACTTCCCAGCCTCAGGAACTGTAAGCAATAAATGTCATTTTTCTTTATAAAATACCCAATTCCATGTATTTTGTTATAAGCAACAAAATGGACTAATACAGGTGGGGTGGGTTATGTAGTAAGACTGCTTTTTCTAAACATCATTTGTTTGACTCTAAATTTAAATGCAGCATAGCTTGTTCAATATTTAAATGATTAAGCTTTCAAAAATTATTAAAATCATCAAAATTACTGGTATTTTGGCACTTAAAAATAGCACAGAACACTGGAATAACCAAAACTAATATCAGAGTTAATAAATTAATAGCTATTTTCAATGGCCAGTGTATACTGTAATGAAACGTTAAGTTTGTATATCTAATATGAAAGCTATGCCATCCTGGGATATTACACCTAAGCTGGTGATGCTTAACTCTAGGTGTGCATCAAAATATCCCCACTCCCAGTGGTTCTGTGGGGTTGAGTCAAGACATCTCTATTTTTAAAAGCTTCATAGTTGATTCTGATACAAACTTATGGTTAAGAATGACTATCTTAGAGAATGTTAAATATTATTACACTTAACTCCCAATGTACTTCACTAAGTCACAGCAAAACTTTAAGATCTCACAAGCAGAGCTGCTTTACTTACAGATCCATTATTAATTTCACCATATCCTTGGGTTTGTTTTTATTTGATAAGTATTACAGCAGCAGCTGAAAACACATTTAAATTTTCCTCCCCATATCACCAGGAAGTTATTTAAAAATAAACACATCCTGAGAGTTTAAAAGCTAATAAATTTAGAGGTGGGCTGGGAAATAGGTGTTTACTTTAAAAAATAGAGCTATCGGTGTACAGTGTGGAATAAGGAATAGGTAAGAGTAAAGCTAGGACAGAAAGGGGAAGCTATATTGTCATCAAATTTTCCTGAAATATGTCCTCATGGTATGATTCATTATTTTATTTACATTGATGAGAACTTACCAAGTATGTTCATATTCAAATGGAAAGAAAAGTATTACCTCAAGATACAATGTATTTTTAGATAATGTATTTTGGTATTATCTATGTAACAGTTACTCCTACTAATATTAAAAATCAAGAGCTAATTGTATTATTTGGATACCATGGGCCAGTATCTTAACCTTAATTTATTTCCTTTTATTTCTTATCTATACATTATGGAAAACTAAAGTTTATTAACATACCTTGGGTCAAGAAGACTCCTCAAAAACTTGAAAAGCAAAACCTGGTTCTGAATTTAAAAAAAATAATAAATAAATACCATTAAATATTAAAACAAAATTTTCAAATTATACTATGATAAAGAACTACTCCAGACTACCTCTTTAAAATACACAGATACATGACTATTTCCATTAAGCCTGCTGTACAGCTCTAAGAAATTCTAAAGAATCATTTGGAGGTCCTCAACATCCTATTGATAATTCTAATCATTGTTATACATTCAATTTTGAGTGCAGAAGGAATACACCTTGTTGTTGCCCAAAAAGGAAAATACCGCTACTGAGGCAAATCCCTGAGCCATTCCCAGCATGAGTACCCTTGGCGTGGCAGGTGCTGTGAACTGTTCTGCTGATGGTGAGTTCTGGCTACACTGATAAGTTTCACATTGCCTCACTTGGTCCTCCTAGTGACAGTGGCCTGCTGTGAGACAGTCAATCTAGGTAGGATGGGAGTTTGAGGCCCAAATTAACCACCGCCAAAAAAAGCTTATTAACTCCACAATATAATCAACTATAGAAGAAATGGCAATCAAACTGCAACATGTTAGCAATCAACATGCCATAAAATCTGGGTTTTGTTTCTGCCACTTATTAGCTATGTGACTTTGTATAAGTCACTTATCATCTTAGCAATTCTGTTTCCTCATGTGTAAAAAAAGAGGACAGCAATATCTTCTCTGCCTTCTGCACTGAGTAGTAGTAAGGGTTAAAAGAGATAAACCTGCGAACATTACATAAATATAAATAATGTTTCTAAGTTCTTGGGAAAACGAAGCAAACATTATTACTGTTTAGTTTTTCTTTTTTTATTTTTTGACACATTCAAACTTCACTTTTTTTTGTGTGTGGCTGGCTATACAGGATCCAAACCCTTGACCTTGGTGCTGTAATACTGCACTCTAATCAAATGAGCTAACCGGCCAGCATCAAACGTCACTTGTAAAAAACAGGGGATTCTCAAAGCTGAAAAGGATTATTATCATCGATTAGAACGTGATTTTTAAAACATGTTTATCAATCTTTTCCATAATCACTTTGTTTTACTTTACACAACTTTCCTCCTGGTTATAACTTAACGTTGTAGCTTATTTTTCATTTCAAGAATTCTGAAAACAATTGGTCAGAGGCTTCTTTTTT